GACTTCCCTGAATTCCACAGAACAAAATTTAATCAGAGTTGAGAAAATAAAGAAATAAAAGAAATCAAGCAAGACAAAATAATAGTTCAGCCATAAAACAAAGTCAAAAATCTTCAGTGTCCCCTTAAAGGTTATAGATGATATCCTGAACCATATTCTTTGAGCTACTCTGCAGATACTAAAACCCATACCAGGTGTCAGAAGTTAACTGCATGCTGACCCAGAGCAGTTGGAAGCAGAAGATCAAGGATACTGACTGCCAATTACTTCACCACCAACCAATTAGAAAAACGTCCATGTTTTGATCATACACCCCCCAACCCTCCCTAATAAGGGAGTCTGAGCCTTGTGAGCATCAGCTACCTTGACTGCTTGTTTGGTGCCTTCAACAAACGCTAAATTTTCCTTCACCACAACCCAGTGTCAGGAGACTAGCTTTGCTGCACACCAGGAAGGAATCCAAGTTTGGATTGGTAACACTAATGTAACTGCTTCGGCCTTCCCAATCTCACTTCCTTCAGAACAGTCGTCATAGTAAAGACACACACGGTTAGCGAACAGAAGTCTTTCCTGTCAGTGGTTGTTTCAATGTTTTGGGTCGAGCCTCGACGTTTGACAGCCCTACTGGCTTTGCTCTGTTTCAAGGTCTGAACAGTACACCTAATGCCAACATGGCATGTGTCAGCAGGGTACGACCAAGAACAAAACAGTCATGTATTCGATACGAATCTATCCTCATCAAGAGTCAGCAACTGGGACAGGAGCTTACACTTCTGTAGCGCTTTGTATAGCGCTTCGGGTCGCTGAGGAGTCTTTCCCACCCTGTCGAAGGCGGACAGAAAGTTTCTGGCAGCGATGGTGATGGAGAGCGGGATATAATTAGGAAACCGGTGGGGGGTGAGGGGAACGTCAAGTAGGCTGAGGAGGGAGGGAAGCTGAGAGGCACCGTTAGTGAAAGAAAAGGAAGGGGAACCTCAGGAGGAGTCACCCACCGGGGCCGACAGAAGCGGGGCGCGCGCGTCGTCTCAGACGCGGGGGAAACCTAGACGCCGCGAGGACGCCAACTGAGAGTGCCCGCCTCAGCGAGGGAAGCTGCCCGGCTGAAGCCCCACCTCAGGGCGACCTGCCTGGCGTCCTGCACCTCGGCCGCCGTTTTCGTCAGTCCCCCTCAGAGTCACTCACCACCAAGGCTGCCAGCGCCAGCAAGCCGCCCGGCTCCACTGCGTTTCTCACACACGCTCAGCTACACACACTCAAGCACGAGCTCCCGGACCTTGCGGCCCCGAACGTCTCCCGGAGTGACGGGCAGACGGGCCAATCGAAGCCCGGCTGGCCGCAGACGCGCACGGCGGTGGGCGGGGTGGGACCAAACCGCGGGGTCGAGACGACGTCGCGAAGGCTGGCGGGTTGCAGTGACTTCCCACCGGAAGGCGCGGCTCCGCGGGAAAAGCGGTCCTGATGAATGGTCGCGGCGGTATGGGGCTGAGACCGTCTCCTCAGGAGTACCCGCAGGCCTGTACCACACCACCAGCCTACCATTCCTTTGGCCTTCTTCACCAAACGATTTTCCTGTCCAAGTTATAAAGTGCAAGCTGCTTTCCATTGTAAGCGTGTATTAACATCATGGGTATAAAGGGTAACGGAAACTTGAGTCCACTGTGTCACCCAAGGAACAGATACTAAAAGAAGAAAAATATGAAATCTTTTATTTCTAAACCTTCAATTTCTGATGTCTGAACTTTTTCTATATTGAACACATTTTGTTAGCGTTTAAATATTGGGTGCAATTTGAGTTATGATTAAATTCCATCTGGCCGGTTAACAAAAAGGCCTGACTTTCTTAATTTTCTGTAACAGTCTTAAAGATTCTCTAACTTCAGTTCTTAATCTCCCGTAAATCTGAAGACGGCTGGTAAAATGGGCAGGTGCTTTGAGTCCAGACCTACAGTGTCAGGGTCTAGCCCCAGCACGGTCCAGGGGAACCCTCAGGATGAACGGCGTCGGCGAATGAGAAAGAGAGAGAGAGAGAGAGACCAGACCAGGATATGTGGCAGAGTCTGGCAGTTGCTTTATTTTTCACCATCGCCTTTATACCCTAAGTTGGTACATTTCTAAGGGGCAGATAAGCACACAGACTTAGTTTAACATTATATCAGCTTGTCCTTCAGGAAACCAGGTGTGCTCTGTATATTTTTGTTTATTACAGTCTTTTCCCATGGATTTTTTGCCATTATCTTCTGGCCTCGAGCTCAGCAGAAAACAGAAAAGCGGCAGTCTCATGGTACAGCAAGTTGCAACATAATAGAAATACAATCCTATTAACATAAAAGTCAGTCTTTTTGCAGAAATTCTCAGCTAAATTTATCTAAAAAGTTGAACACACAAAGACACTGTGGCTCTGGAGAGGCAGCCCCTGTTTAGCACTCTTGGTTAAAATTAACAATTATCTTATTGTTTTTACAGTAGGGCTAAACTCTTATTTTACTATATCTTTATATTAATAATAGTTTCCACACGCACAACCTCAGCACATTAACATCAATCAAACGTTGATCTAATAACCACTTTTAAAACAATATTTTTTGTATTCTCTAAGAGGGCTTCCTCACCCCCCAAAGGGCTCTGTGCCTATTAGGGCCCTTTTTATGGTTAATCTCTATGTATAATACCTTTTGGCTTTCAGGCCTGTTGACAATTTATGTTGTCAACATATTTATGTTGCACCTGGTGCAACTTTAAGCAACTTCAGTAGCCGACCCTGTCTTTTTTGTGGTTAATCTATTTTCTTTCTATTAGGTGTCATCTCCAAGGGAGCTAGATAGGATTACAGTTTTTACAGAACAGAAATGCAAAGGATTGCAAAAGCAGCAGATATGGCACAAAACAGGCTCTTAGTCCAAAAGTTAATTACCTGCAAGAAGTCACCAGCTAATCTCTATCTAAACTATTTTCTATTAGGCACATATGTGGCTATAATATTTGTGGGGCTTTTTTCACCCCTCAGAGGGACCTATGCTTAATAGTTTCTTTTGTTAGTATACTGTGCTTAGGATGTTTAGAACAATCATGAGCATTTTTTGCAATAAGAGCACACATTTATCAAACAAGCCAGAATGCCAGCAAAAGGGTTTAAATTGAAGCATTTCCTTCATCCCTGGCCCCTTCATAGGGTACCAGCGTCCAGGAGATTTATTAATTAGCTTTTAAGTTGGTCTTCATTCAGTGAAAGAGGAGCAGGAGAGCTCTCAGCATGCAACACAAGAATCTGCAACAGGGCAAACAAGAACAACAGCAGAAAAGGGGGGAGGATACAGGATGGGGTAGAGGCGAGGTCAATCTGGAGGGTCCCTTATCCTATACTGCCTTGCCTGTCAGGTTTTTTCCTCGTGACCTCGTCATGGATGGGGTCCCGGACGGCCTTGCCTGCCCGGTATTTTCTTCATGACCTCGTCACGGGCGGGACCTCCCATAACGGCTCCCAGCACTACAGGAATCAAACTAATTTAGCTGAGGCTCCTTCTTTCTTAGAGCATCATTTGAGTCTAAAATAATTAAAACCAGATGCTAAACATGTTTCAGTGTGTGCCTCATTCAGTAATGATGGTCTCACAAAAGTTTCATTTATGAAAAAGTAAACATTGTTGAAATGATGGAGGAGAAATAAGGCTTTCTATAGATGAGTAGTTCTTAAGCAAAACAACAAACCTTACAGCTTTGAAACACATCTTGTAACAAAACACAAAAATCGTTGTTAAATTCTTGCTACCAAAATCTAAAAGAAGACTTTGGCAGAAATTACCAGCTTATCGAGAATTTCTTCCTCTACACATAAGGTAGAAAAGCATTTATGAAACCATAGATCTACATGGGTTTCTATGAAAATACTGAAGTGCAAGAATACTGGAGGGGGTTGTCATGCCCTTCTCCAAGGGATCTTCCTGACCCAAGGATCAAACCCAGGTCTCTGCATTGCAGGCAGATTCTTTACCATCTGAGCCACCTGGAAAGCCCAGGTCTGTAAGTGTTTAGATACCTGGCAACCGTTTTCTTAAAATTCCATCCTCGAAACACATGCTAATGAACCAGCCATCTGCAGAGTCAAATGGGGAGAGATTCCCTTCCAAACTCCCTCAGTGTGTTGACAAAATTCATTTCCTTGCAGCCACTTGAAGTCTCATTTTCTTGGCAACTGACAAAAGGGAACCACTTTTAGGAACTGGAGACCACTCGAGTCTCAAGAAAAACAGTTCAGCTATAAAGCAGAGTCCTAGCTCCTCCTCAAGGGACGGACATAACAATTTGATACAGTCTTTGAGTTCTGGAAGAACTAAGGCCCACACCTAGGAGGAGGACAGAATGATGATGTTGGCCCTCATGACTTTAATCAACTAAAGCCTAGACGTTTTTGATCATGACCTGAGTTCTGTGCTGAATTCTCCACTGCTCAAACCCCTTCATGAAAATCCATGTACCTTTAGGTTAAAACTTTCCCCAGTTTGCTTTTGAGGGGGAGGGAGACATTGCTTTGGTGGAGATCATGAGTGTTACTTGTCACAGAAACAATAAATGCTTCTCATCTTTGGCTTGGTCGTGCCTTTTGGCTCAACACCCACCAAAAGCTGAATCTACTTTTTGGATAACAATAGACAGACTGCTTGGTTTTTTATTGTAATTTATTTATGTGTTTTAGAAATATATATATCACTATTCAAACCCAGCATTATGGGGCATAAACAAGGCTTAAGTAGGAATTTTAAAATTTTTAAAGTGAGTTGATCAGAGAAAATATTTTTTAAACACTAGTACAAGTGACTAGGATATAGCGAAAATCAAGAAGGCGTTACTCTAATTTGTAACATTGGCATATAAGAAATTGACTGATGACTAAAGTAATGAATGAACTAGTGGATTCAGTAGGTGTGGAATAAATTATGCAAAGCGATTCAAGAGCCCCTTCGTTGTCAGGAATGTCTGCAGAAGCCCACCAGGTGCCAAGGCTATTATGTGCAGGCCGTGGAGTACATGGTACACGTGCCGCTTAAGCAGGCCTCAAACACGACCCACACTGTCGGGGCCTGCAGGCCAGAGTGGGGGCGGGGAGTGCTGCCTTGCGGGGGCGTGGCCGGCCCACCGTGGGTGTGGCCGGTGAGGGGCGGGCCCAGCGGCGGAAGGCGGAAGCTGCCTGAGGTCACCTGACCCGGGAAACATGGCCGCCGCCCCTGGAGCCCGGCAGGCACTGCTCCCGTGAGCTGCTGGTTGGCTCGGGGCAGGGGGACGGAGACGAGGTTCACGCCCGGGCTCCGAGAGGGCGCGCGGCCCCGCGAGACTCGGGTTGGGGCGGAGTGGCCCATGAGCCGGCACCGGAGGCAGCGCGGAGTCGCAGACGCCCCTGGTCCCGGCGCGGCCCCGGCTGCCGCGGGCTGAGGAGCCGCGGGGCTCCGGGAGGCGCGCCCGCGCTGCTACCATGAACCCGGAGAAGGATTTCGCGCCGCTCACGCCCAACATCGTGCGCGCCCTCAACGACAAGCTCTACGAAAAGCGGAAGGTGGCTGCCCTGGAGATCGAGAAGTAAGAGCTGTGGGCCCGGTCTGGGGCGCGGGGAATGGGGCCGCCTCCGTCCTGGTTGCTGCGGGGTCCGCTCCTCCGGGAGCCGGGACTCCGTCCTGGATGTTGCGGGTCCCGCTCCTCCGGGCAGCTCCTCATGCTTTTGCAGCTAGTGTTGCTGCCCCAGGCTTTAGGCTCTCAATGTCGTGGTTAACAGCAGGAGATGGGCAGTACTGTGTGATCTGGGCCATATTATTTAACCTCCTGGTACCTCAAAGGGGCTGCGGTGAGAGTGAAGCGATGTTGGGTATGTACGGTGCTTAGCCCAGTGCCTGGCGCATGATGCGTCCTCAGTGTGGTCTCTACCAAAACGAGCAAATCCCAGAGTAATCTCCGATGGGAAGGAGGTGGGAAGCGTGACAATTTGTCATGGATGTTGACCTGCCTCATTTCTTACCCACTTTTTGAGAAGTGAAAAGAAAATAAGTTGACCAAATGAAGAAGTCAGATCTAAGATCTCAAGGCTCAGAGGGCTGATGGTTTTATCTCTGTCATATCACCCTTCTCCAAAAGTGGAAGTAGGAATAATTTGTTGTTTCTGTAGTCTTAATTACATGTGCAGTAGCACCCTCTTGTCTGTGGGGATATGTCCCCAGACTCCTAGTGGATGCCTGAAACCCCTTGGATGGCATCAAACTCTATATATGCTATATTTTCTCCTACACATACAGATGTATGATAAAGTTTAATTTATGATTTATAATTAGGTACAGTAAGAGAATATCCTAACCGTCAGCATCACTACTGTTGCATTTTAGGGTTGTTATTAAGTAAAATAAGGGTTACTTGAAAATAGCACTACCATACCAGAGTCAATCTGATAACTCAGACATTACTAAGTGGGTGTATATCATATACAGCATGAATGTACTGAAGGAAAGAGTGATTCATGTCCTGGTGGGACAGCACGAGATTTCATCTCGACACTCAGAACAGTGTATAGTTTAAAGCTTATAGATTGTTTATTTTTGAATTTTCCATTTAATATTTTCTGAACTGCTGTTGACCGTTGGTATCTGAAACTGTGGATAATGGGATTCCACTGTATGTGTAACCATAACCTGACATTTTGCTTAGTTATTTTTGTTACAAAGCAAAGCGTTTCACTGGAAACATTGAGATTTTTCTGCTCTTATTTTACACGTGTATTTTTTTTTTCCCCAGCCAAATCTTTGTGACAAAGTCAGGTGGGTAGGTAATTTCAGAAGAGTGGACAGAGGCAGGCTGTGATTTAAGCATCAGGAAATAGAGGCTTTAGTTCCGCCCTGTCCAGTAAGGTAGCCACTGGCCATGGTGACTATTTACATTTAAATTATTAAAGGTAAAATAAAGATTTTAAATATAGTTTCTCAGTCATTCTGCCTGTATCTCACATAGCCACGTGTGGCTGTCGGCTGCCGTAATGGACAGCACAGATTTTCAAACAGTTCCATCACCGCAGAATGCTTTGTATGGGCCTGTATAGTCTGTTGTGTGACGCTCATTTTGTGACCTCTGGCAGATTCCTTAACTCAGGGTTTCTTAATCTCAATGCTATTGATATTTTTGGACAGGTAACTCTTGGTTGTGGTGGACTTTCTTGTGCACAGTAGGGTTTTTAGCTGCATCTCTGATCTTTACCCACTAGACACCAGTAGCTTTCCATCACTAGTACAACCAAAAATGTCTCCAGACAGTTGCCAAATGTCCCCTGGGGATGCAGAATCACCCCAGTTATGAACCACTGCCTTAACTGCTTTGGTTTCAGTTTCCTTCTCCACTAAAGGGTTTGGATTTTGCCAAGAGGACCCTCCTGTTCAGCTCTAAGATTCAGCATGTCCAGAACCACACTTCTCTCATCAAGCTCCCCTTTCTTGAGTGCCGTCTCTCCCCACAGCTGCTTATCGTTGCCCTGGCTCTTGCCATTGCCAGCAAATTGTATTGATGAGTATTGCTCTGATGATTAGGAGACTCAGAACTCATGTACAGACATGGCTCCATGTCTGTGGTTTTATTGGCTGAAGGTGCAGTGACACTGGTTTTGTCCATCACCCGCTCTGCTTCTCAGAAATGTTTTCTATTTTCATACTTGAGTCATTGGTTGAGCCCTTGAATAGAGGTGCTCATCTCAGCCTTATTGTTGCTTCCAGCACATCCTGTGTAAGTGCTGTCACTCTGTAGGCTGTGCTGGAAGGATTTTGTCTTTAACGGGGTTTGTTTAGTGTTTGACATTGCCTTTGGCTTGTGGAGCTGGGAACGTGAAACATGTGAGAAAGAATTCATGACATTCGATGATGCGGTGGTGAGCCCAGAATGCAGCGTCCAGGGGAGGAGTGGTCCTTCCTGAAATGGTCAGCAGAAGCAGGGGTGGGTTGGAGCTGGCGTTTGAGGCCTGGCTAGGCTGTGAAACGAGACAGGAGCTTGCCTATGGGGTGGCCTGGACAGGAAGTGTCCACGGAGTAGACTAGCGGGCCCAGTAGGAAGCTGGGTCTGGCTGGAGGGAGGTTGCGTGTGTAGCCAGGCTACAGGCTGGAGAGGCAGCTGGCCCTCTGTTGACCCCCTGAGTGTCAGGTAGAGAGTATGGGCCTGATTTCGTGGGACAGGTCTTCCTGCTGTGACCCCAAGGGCTTGGCCCAGTGCTCTAAGGCGGATGGATTTGCTGACCACCTGTTCTCAGGGTTTGCCTTCCAGAAGAAGCCACTGTTTGTCTTGTTCTCCTGGCTGTGGACAGTGTTCTCCCCTCAAGTGCAGGGGTGCAGACAGCAGAGACTTGGGGTTCCAGAGCCTTGGGACTTGAAGGGGCCATCATGTGTGCAGTGACCTGGGGTGCCCTGACCTACATCCTGGTGGGATTCAGGGTGAGGGGCCTTCCAGCTGGTGTGGAGCAAACAGCAGGGTCGGGGATTGTTGCCCGTCTGCTCCCGCTTCCGGAGGCCCTGTTACCCCAAGGGTAACAGGTTACCCTTGCCAGCCTGCCCCGACAAAGGTGCCCATTCCTCATGCTCTCCCAGCATCCGGTCTCTGCAGCCTTTCTGGCTTTCAGCGCTCCCTCAGTGCAGGTCAGACCACACCGCCCGCCGCTGCAGACCTTCCCTACCGTCTGTAGCTGCTCATAGAGCAAAGGTCGCCTCCTCTGCCAAGCCTGTGAGTGGGCGCAGCCTCTCCCCCACCTCTGTCCTTTCAAGCTGCCAAACCGAGTGCCCCTGTCCTTCCTCTGAGCCTTCACGCGTGAGCTTCCCTCTGTCTGAGCTTCCTTCTCCTGCATGAACACCTACTCATCCCTCAGAATCCCTCTCAAAAGCTGCCCTTCATGAAACCACATCGGATCCCCTCCCCACCAGAGATGCGTCACACTCTTTCTCTCCTGCCCCGTCCTCACCTTGCACGGTCCTCAGCAGATTTTTTCCTGTTTTGCATGAAAGTCCTCATGGCCTCTTGTTTCTCACCCACCGGATTCTAGCAAAAGCCCCTCAGGCAGGGAATGCACCCCATTTGCTGGCTCTCCAGCGGGCTGGGGGACCCTTTCCAGTGGCTCAGGGACCATTTGTGACCTGAAACAAGGAGACAGACAGGAGGTGGCTCCAGGAGGGGCTATGCTGCTGGCCAGGCTGGGTCTTCTGTGGCTGCCCTGCCGGAGCCTCATGAAGGACATTACTCCGCGTCCCGGGGCTGCCCTCACGTGGGCTGAGCAGCTCAGCCTGGTTCCCTGGGAGCCTCACAGGCAGAGGCCACCGGCAGCCCATCTGGGCGGGAGTGGGAGGACAGCTGCTTTCAGTGGCTTTGGTGACCCCCTTTCTCCAGTACTCCTCAGGTACAAGGAGACAACAAGCTAGATCTTCGTGGAAGTTAGGAAACAGGTGTGGAAAATCAAGCTAGAAAAAAGTCATTCTCACGTTTTGAGTGTATCACCAATGCTGTGAGCGGTGTGAAATCTCAAATCCAGTCTCTCGGATTTTTTTTTTTTTTAATAATTTTTTTAAAAAATGTTTGCTGCTGCATTGGCCGGGAATCGAACCCGGGCCTCCCGCGTGGCAGGCGAGAATTCTACCACTGAACCACCAATGCTCCAGCTGTCAGCAGCTGTGTGAGCACCTCCCTTTAACCCCAGGACCAGCCTCCTTGTCCACACGCTGATTCCCAGAGTCCGAGGCCACGCTCTGAGGCTGCCACATCAGCACCACTGCAGAAACAGAAGCTCAGACTCCAGAGCAGGAGGGGGCGGGGGGGGTGTCTGTGTGTCTGATTTGCCTTCATCCATCAGGACAGAAACCACCTCAGATCCTTCCCTCTCAGTAACAAGAAGCCCACTGAAACTCTGGGGCCTTCCTCCTCTCTGAAGTGTGGTCCCCCCTCCCCCGTCGACATGGCATGTGGAGCTGTTTCACAGCTCACAGCCTTCACCACCGCTTCCTGCTGGAGACTGGCCAGGGCTGGGGGGTGCCCAGGAGTCCCCTGACAGCTGCAGGGCACGCGGGCCTTGGCCCTGCAGCCAGGAAGTGGCGCGTGTGTGGAGAATCCAGCTGCTGGTCACGCTCCCCGGGCAGGGAGGTGCTCCCGGCTTCAGAGCAGCCTTGGCTGCGGCAGGCCGGGTGTGGCTGAGGATCTGGCTCCTGTGGCAGGATCTCTGAGGGAGTTTGCCTAGAAGGGGCCAAAAAAAACAGCCCTGCATTGGCCGGGAATCGAACCCGGGCCTCCCGCGTGGCAGGCGAGAATTCTACCACTGAACCACCAATGCTCTGCTGCTTTGTGGCTCACCTGCAGGGCCTTTCTCAAGGGGCTGCTGTCCGTGGACACTCAGCTCTGACATCACTGAGACTTGTCTGCCTGGGGTTCTGTTTGCGAATCCAGTGGGTTTATTGCACTGCTTAGGAAGTGTGGGCACCTATGGAACTGCCTTCCTCCCGAGGCCCTTGGTTCGTCCACAGCCCTCAGTCCCCAGGGGTGGGCTTGGTGGAATCACTCGCTATAACCGGCAAAGCAGGAGGCCCCCCACAGGCCATTCATGCAGCCTTTTCCTGGCACCCCGTCTCTGCTAGTCCCGTTCACCTGATGATGAAACGGTCTCCTCCCCTCCCATCCATCTCACAGCATCTTAAAACACAAGCATCTCTACCCTTCTTGTCCTCTCCCCTATTACAGGGGATCCTAATGGTTTTTTGTTTAATTTAAAACTGTTCCTCCCTGTTCTTGCCACTGCCTCCGCCATGTTTAAGCCCCCTGTTTCTGACCTGAGAGCTGGGGTGCTCTCCTCTGGGGGTGGTGCATCTCCTGTCACACCAGCCCGTCCCATGCAGGGCAGCGTCTCCTGCAGGCGCCACCCCATGACTGAACCTTCCAGCAGCTCGCCTGTCCTTTGCTCTGTCTTCAGCCGCCCCTCGCACAGCCTGGGCTCCTCACCCTCCTCTAGGTACACTCTGTGTTTTCTGGGCCCTGCCGTTAGCCAGGCTCTTCTCTGGGCCCCAGGTGCCCCGCCTTCCCTTCTTCACCTGGACAGTGCCAGCTGCTGACTCTAGGGTCTCACTCAGGTGGCACCACCCAGGGAGACTTACCTGCAGCATCTGGCTTCTTTGGTGACGCTGTGGCTGCACCTACTTGTTGTGTGTGGATCCTGCCTGTTGGACATGGGCCCAGTTCAGCCCCGTCCCTGGAAACGATGACAGAAAGCCGCTTGAGTGCCTGAATGGAGGGCTGAGCAAAAGGTTGATTGAAGGCGGTGGATCATTGCAGGTTTTGGTCCCCAGCACAACATTGGTTGCCTTCTCAGAATTGAGATTGGTCACTGTTCTTTGATCCATTCTCAGTAAGGGGAATGGGAGACCGCAAAAGGGAAAGGGAAAGCCAGCGCCCCCCCAGTCAGCAGCGGAACTGGGGCAGGACCCATGACTCCGATCCCTCTTTCTGAGCAGGTCCTCTGCACCCCTCACCCCGGCGCCAGGCCCCGGGTCGAGCAGCAGGAGCAGGAGTAGCCTGACTGCACTGGCCTAAGGCCCTCTCTCCTCTCTCTCCAGGCTGGTCCGGGAGTTCGTGGCCCAGAACAACACGGTGCAGATCAAACATGTGATCCAGACCTTGTCTCAGGAGTTTGCCCTGTCTCAGCACCCCCACAGCCGGAAAGGGGGGCTCATCGGCCTGGCCGCCTGCTCCATCGCACTGGGCAAGGTATGCCTTTATCCTGAGGGATGCACACTCCAGCCGTGGCCCCGACTCTGCCCCTGGCCCCAGCAGGGGGTCGCAGACGCGTGTTTTCTGTTGCCATTCTGTGTACACCCGGGTCAGCACGGCTGGCTTTGCCACCTCGCTCCCCGGTTCCTGGGTGCAGCCCCTAGCCCTAGAGGTCGGCTTGCAAAGCACCTTTGAGCCCAGCCCTGAGTCGAAGGTCTGAGCACCTCCCAGGGAGCCGGGGCTGGGACCCCGGGCTCTGACTCGCTCTGAGTAGCACTTGCGCTCCCGCCGCGTCACAGGACTCGGGGCTCTACCTGAAGGAGCTGATCGAGCCGGTGCTCACATGCTTCAGCGACGCCGACAGCAGGCTGCGCTACTACGCCTGCGAGGCCCTCTACAACATCGTCAAGGTAGCCCGCGGCGCCGTGCTGCCCCACTTCAACGTGCTCTTCGACGGGCTCAGCAAGGTGAGCCCTCCACGCTCCAGCTGCTCTGAGCTCGCCCCCTGCCTCCCGGACCTGACCCTCCAGGACTTGAGTGCCGGCTGCCTTTCCCCAGAGATGGGGGAGCAGATGAGCAGATGCTGCCAGGGACGCTCCTTGTATGTTGAATCTGATGATACATTTTAAAGTGGGCTTGTATTTATGTTTGGTTTCCCCCCACATCTCTGTTAACTTAACTCCACCGCGTTTTACAAAAGCATCAGTCCACCCCAAGCTGGGGGGAGGACAGCCATCTGAGAGCACTGACCTCCCTTGTAGAAGGCGACGCTGGCGATTCTGCACTGTTAGCTCCTCAGTCGTGTGCGACTCTTTGGCAACCCGTGGACTACAGCCTGCCAGGCTCCTCTGTCCGTGGTGCAGACTGTATTTCCCCTGTGAGGAGAGCACAGCCCGTGAGCTCTGGAAAAAGCTCTGCTTAGAAGGGCTCTGGGGTCCCTCTTAGCTCATCAGCGCCTCTCAGCATCACGGAGTTTCCCTCCATAGAGTCATTTGTAGAGAATCAGCCTCGAAACTGCTCTGGCCACCCCTCCAGGAGTGGGGGGCGGACCCGGCATTGTTAGGCTGGAAAGCCCTGGGGAATGCCAGCGGGAAGACGCCACGCGGCCAGTGGCAGCAGCCCCTGCGGGCTCCTGAGCAGAACAGGGCCCCCAAGCGCATCTCTGCGCCTTCCCCAGTTCAGTGTTGCCTCCCTGCCTCCCCTACCTTCCTTCCATCTGTGAACAGGCTCCCCCAAGGCCTTGCTATACAATTCCAGTGGATTCTTTGCCTTAATAAAGTGACTGTGATCCTTCTTCTACCTCTGTCTCCCGTAGTTGGCTGCTGACCCAGACCCCAATGTGAAAAGTGGATCTGAGCTCCTAGACCGCCTCTTAAAGGTATTAGTACCTGGTCCCCACTTTTAGCATTTCTTTCTTCCATCTGTCTATGCAGCTTTGAAGCTCTATCATTGGGATGGTCTTCCTAATTTAAAAAAATATTTACATACAGCAAGTGGGATAACATGCAATTCTGAGTATACAGAGTTACATCAGCAGCAGGATCACACTACAGAGCCGTCCGTCGCCCCTAGTGTTCCCACGAGCTGGCCCAGCCCGCCCCCAGTGTCGGGCAGTGTATGCTCAGCTCACTGGGCATTCAGTCCAGACCCTAGAGATGTAGGAAGGGTTTTGCCTTTTCATTGCTTCTGTTCCCCTTGATTCCCACTTTCAGTCCATCCTTGCTTGTCCCTTGGTCTGCCTGACACAGGCTCTGTCCTCCTCCTCTGTGGCCACCTGACCCCTGAAGTCAGGCACTCAGCCAGGTCAGGCCACCCCGCCCCCAGCAGCTCATACGCCTTTGACCCCCAGGACATCGTGACGGAGAGCAACAAGTTCGACCTGGTGGGCTTCATCCCCTTGTTGCGGGAGAGGATTTACTCCAACAACCAGTACGCCCGGCAGTTCATCATCTCCTGGGTAAGATCTGGCCCTGAGGCCGTTTCTCGCTGCCCGTGAGCCTCCTCTCTGACCCACCTGGACGCGTCCCGCGGCTGTGGAGGCGCCTCACTGTTGCCCCTCCAGAAGCCGCGATGGCACATGATCCCAAAACACGTTTCCTCAGCTCTGCCCCCAGAGCCCATCACGTTCGCCTCTGAAGCAGATGGGGTTCCTTCCTCATCTCTGGAAACACCCAGATCGCTCTTTGAAGCCAGCCTCTCCCGCGGGTTGCCTGCCTCTCCCGCGGGCTCGCGTCTCCTCAGGGTGTCTGAGCTGCTGTTTGCCTGCGCGCTGAACAGAAGCAAGGGCAGCCGGCACGCCCTCCCCCGGGCACACCCCAGGGCCGTGGCCTTCCCTGACGGCCTCCTTCTTGGGTCAGATCCTGGTGCTGGAGTCCGTGCCTGACACCTCAGGGTGTCTGAGCTGCGAACAGAAGCAAGGGCAGCCGGCACGGCCTCCCCCGGGCACACCCCAGGGCCGTGGCCTTCCCTGACGGCCTCCTCCTTGGGTCAGATCCTGGTGCTGGAGTCCGTGCCTGACACCTCAGGGTGTCTGAGCTGCGAACAGCAGCAAGGGCAGCCGGCACGGCCTCCCCCGGGCACACCCCAGGGCCGTGGCCTTCCCTGACGGCCTCCTTCTTGGGTCAGATCCTGGTGCTGGAGTCCGTGCCTGACACCTCAGGGTGTCTGAGCTGCGAACAGCAGCAAGGGCAGCCGGCACGGCCTCCCCCGGGCACACCCCAGGGCCGTGGCCTTCCCTGACGGCCTCCTTCTTGGGTCAGATCCTGGTGCTGGAGTCCGTGCCTGACACCTCAGGGTGTCTGAGCTGCGAACAGAAGCAAGGGCAGCCGGCACGGCCTCCCCCGGGCACACCCCAGGGCCGTGGCCTTCCCTGACGGCCTCCTCCTTGGGTCAGATCCTGGTGCTGGAGTCCGTGCCTGACACCTCAGGGTGTCTGAGCTGCGAACAGAAGCAAGGGCAGCCGGCACGGCCTCCCCCGGGCACACCCCAGGGCCGTGGCCTTCCCTGACGGCCTCCTCCTTGGGTCAGATCCTGGTGCTGGAGTCCGTGCCTGACACCTCAGGGTGTCTGAGCTGCGAACAGCAGCAAGGGCAGCCGGCACGGCCTCCCCCGGGCACACCCCAGGGCCGTGGCCTTCCCTGACGGCCTCCTCCTTGGGTCAGATCCTGGTGCTGGAGTCCGTGCCTGACACCTCAGGGTGTCTGAGCTGCGAACAGCAGCAAGGGCAGCCGGCACGGCCTCCCCCGGGCACACCCCAGGGCCGTGGCCTTCCCTGACGGCCTCCTTCTTGGGTCAGATCCTGGTGCTGGAGTCCGTGCCTGACACCTCAGGGTGTCTGAGCTGCGAACAGCAGCAAGGGCAGCCGGCACGGCCTCCCCCGGGCACACCCCAGGGCCGTGGCCTTCCCTGACGGCCTCCTCCTTGGGTCAGATCCTGGTGCTGGAGTCCGTGCCTGACACCTCAGGGTGTCTGAGCTGCGAACAGCAGCAAGGGCAGCCGGCACGGCCTCCCCCGGGCACACCCCAGGGCCGTGGCCTTCCCTGACGGCCTCCTCCTTGGGTCAGATCCTGGTGCTGGAGTCCGTGCCTGACACCTCAGGGTGTCTGAGCTGCGAACAGAAGCAAGGGCAGCCGGCACGGCCTCCCCCGGGCACACCCCAGGGCCGTGGCCTTCCCTGACGGCCTCCTCCTTGGGTCAGATCCTGGTGCTGGAGTCCGTGCCTGACACCTCAGGGTGTCTGAGCTGCGAACAGCAGCAAGGGCAGCCGGCACGGCCTCCCCCGGGCACACCCCAGGGCCGTGGCCTTCCCTGACGGCCTCCTCCTTGGGTCAGATCCTGGTGCTGGAGTCCGTGCCTGACACCTCAGGGTGTCTGAGCTGCGAACAGCAGCAAGGGCAGCCGGCACGGCCTCCCCCGGGCACACCCCAGGGCCGTGGCCTTCCCTGACGGCCTCCTTCTTGGGTCAGATCCTGGTGCTGGAGTCCGTGCCTGACACCTCAGGGTGTCTGAGCTGCGAACAGCAGCAAGGGCAGCCGGCACGGCCTCCCCCGGGCACACCCCAGGGCCGTGGCCTTCCCTGACGGCCTCCTCCTTGGGTCAGATCCTGGTGCTGGAGTCCGTGCCTGACACCTCAGGGTGTCTGAGCTGCGAACAGCAGCAAGGGCAGCCGGCACGGCCTCCCCCGGGCACACCCCAGGGCCGTGGCCTTCCCTGACGGCCTCCTCCTTGGGTCAGATCCTGGTGCTGGAGTCCGTGCCTGACACCTCAGGGTGTCTGAGCTGCGAACAGCAGCAAGGGCAGCCGGCACGGCCTCCCCCGGGCACACCCCAGGGCCGTGGCCTTCCCTGACGGCCTCCTCCTTGGGTCAGATCCTGGTGCTGGAGTCCGTGCCTGACACCTCAGGGTGTCTGAGCTGCGAACAGCAGCAAGGGCAGCCGGCACGGCCTCCCCCGGGCACACCCCAGGGCCGTGGCCTTCCCTGACGGCCTCCTCCTTGGGTCAGATCCTGGTGCTGGAGTCCGTGCCTGACATTAACCTGCTGGACTACCTGCCGGAGATCCTGGACGGGCTCTTCCAGATCCTGGGCGACAACGGCAAAGAGATCCGGAAAATGTGAGTGAGGAGGGGAGCACAGAGCCGCATCGTGCCCCACACACCCTCACAGGTGCCAGGAGAGCCTGAGGTTCCCTCTCCGCTTGGCCCGTGACCTTCCCGCTTTGGGATGCCGAGAGCGCCTCCTCCCCCAGCCTCTGAAGTGGTCCCTCTGACCTGGGCGCCCATGCCGAGCGGAGCAGAGACGGCACTGGGGAGCTCCCCGGCCCGGGCGGCAGGGCTATCTCCCTCCTCCTTTGCTCACTGCAGGTGTGAGGTGGTCCTTGGAGAGTTCCTAAAGGAAACGAAGAAGAACCCCTCGAGTGTTAAGTTTGCGGAGATGGCCAACATCCTGGTAATCCACTGCCAGACCACGGGTGAGCACGTGGCAGGCCCGCGAACCCCCTTCTTCTCAGAAGCCCCTCTCCCCGTCCTGGGCAGAGTCCTGCTGGGAGTGGGAGGCGGTGTGACGGCGGGTCCTGGGGCCGTGGGGCCTTGAGGGAGAGATTCTGCTTCTTTCAGCCCGGAGGCCTTTTCACTTGGTCTGGCCTTAGATGGGGGAAGATCTGGAGGCCTCCTTGCTGGCAGGCTTGGCATCAGCACCATGAATTGAAAGGCTTGGAAGCTGGGGTCGTGTAACTGCTTGTTTCTATTGAGTATCAAACCACCACCAGATGTAACTCCTGCCCATCGCAGTCCCTTGTTACTGACCTCAGGCTTCAGGTCATCTGGGCGGCCCTGCCCCCCTGTGCCAGGCCAGGGCCGGGGGGAATCGTGTGCCTACAGTCAGCTGGGGGTGGGCTGAGGCTGGGTGGCCCGTTGTGTCACTAGTGTCTGGCTATCCAGCTGTCACCCGTGGCAAGCGGTAACAGTCGTTCCAAGTGCCGTCACCTGGTGGGCTAGCCCGGGTGCGTTCATGTGATATCGGCGGATTCCAGAAGACGGGAGGCGTCAGCGAGGCCGGGGCTGGAGGCGTCCTTTCTCCCGCTGTCTCTCGGCCAGCCCCGCAGCGGGAGTGGGGAGATAAACTCCCGCTCCTGGTGAGAGGAGCTGCAGGGTCCCCCCGGGGTGTGGACACAGGAGGGCGGAGCGCCATGACTGCTCTCACGGGCAGCCGCAGGACTGCCGTCGTGTGCCCTGGTGCCCGCGGCAGGAAAGGGCGAGAGCGCGGGAGTCCCAGGGGGCCGGGAGCCGCGCCAGCCCTCGGCCCCACTCCAGGGCTCCAGCGCCCATGGGCGCGTGGGGGGCGGGCACCAGCCGCGCTCACCCCGGGACCCCGTCCCCCCACAGATGACCTGATCCAGCTGACGGCCATGTGCTGGCTGCGGGAGTTCATCCAGCTGGCCGGCCGCGTCATGCTGCCCTACTCCTCAGGGATCCTGACTGCTGTCCTGCCCTGCCTGGCCTACGACGACCGCAAGAGGAGTATCCTTCACCCCGGAGAGCGGAGACAAGGGCAGCCCTGAGGGGCACGAGGTCACCCTGGGTGGGGAGGGGGCCCTAGGACCCGCCACGCCTGCAGACAGCCCTGGAGCAGGAGGCAGAGCGGAGCATGACCTGGGAGGGCCCAGGCGGCCCAGGATGCCCGGGCCTCAGCTGCGTCCTCAGAGATCTAAGCGGCTCTCCCAGGCCCGGGCTGCCGAGTCTCTGCTCTCCTCGGGGGTGAGGGGTCCCCCAGGAAGGGAGGAGACAGGGCAGCCCCTTGGGGCAGCAGAACGGGTTCTCAGTCCCGCCTGGCTGGGGCCGCTCCTTACATCGGTGCACTCAAGACATCAAGGAGGTGGCCAACGTCTGCAACCAGAGCCTGATGAAGCTGGTCACCCCCGAGGACGATGAGCCCGACGAGCCAAGGCCGGCGGCGCAGAGGCAGGCAGGCCCCAGCCCCGAGGGCTGCGCAGCCACGCAGGAGGGGGCAGCCGGCGGTGAGTGGGCTCTGCTTTCCGCCCCCACCTCCCCGCGAGGGCCCGGGAACTTGACGTGGGGTCTCCCTCGGCCAGCCAGGGCTGTTTCTGTGTCTCAGCCCCTAACTCTGGGAACGGCCAGGCAGGTGAGAATTGCTGCCTTCCTTCTGCAGGTGGACACAGAGAGGAGTCCCGCCACCAGCGTCTGGCAGCTCCTGGGCAGGGGTGGTGTTTGAGCCCGGCGGTCGGCCTCCAGAACCCGTAGTTCTGAACCCTTTCTGCCCCAGAGAGCATTCATTCTTTCCTCAGTCTTGTTCTGAGCTCAGCTACAGTCGAGGTAGAGAGGCGTGGAACCTGGCAGGAGGGCCGTTGCATCTGCAGGCTCAGCTAGTCTCGGGGGTGGACATCCAGTGACTCAGGCACCGCCTGCCTTTCCTCTGCCACTCATTCTCAGGGAGGTGGGGTTCAGACCAACCCAGCTGTGGTTTATTCAGTCCTTGGGAATTCTGCTCCTCTCCTCTAACGTTAATGTCTTGTTTATCCTTCACATGAAGAAAACCGCTTTTATGCCTATTGAAGTCTAGAGTTGGACTCTCTAAATGTAGAACTCTGAGACTTTTTTCCATCTCTTGGACTCGGTCCTCACCCAGACATCCCCAATGAGCTCTGGGATGATGTTCTCTGCAAAATCGGCCAAAGACTAAACTGATGCAGAACCTACTGAAATCTTTAAGGCTAACGGACTGACGTCTGGAACTTGCCCCCCAGGAGCCAAAAGGGTTCCGAAAGCATTTTGTCCCATTGGCTTCTCTTGAACGTCAGCAGAATGGCAGGCCCACGTGTCCCGTGGGCGTCCTCAGGGGCCTGCCCTTCTAGAGTGGAGCAGCACTGATGCTGGACCATCCCAGTGTCAGGTTACAGGCACGCCCACGTCCCGTGAGTCAGCGCAGCAGAACAGCTGGGGAGGAGGAGTGCTCAGCTGGAGCATTGGTGGTTCAGTGGTAGAATTCTCGCCTGCCACGCGGGAGGCCCGGGTTCGATTCCCGGCCAATGCAGCTCACTTAACCTTTTCGACAGCTTTCCTAAGCCTTCCTCAAACAGCTCTCTGCTCAGGAGAATCTTGGTCCTAAGTCAGGACACATACAGGCAGCTTGGCTCCAGATTTTACTGCCTCGTAAACAGCACTTCGGCAGACTCAGAGCTCACTTTATAGTAGTTCCCAGAAATGGCACCGGTGAATTCTGGGGCTCCACAGCCTCTCCAGACCTGCTCAGCTGGTCCCTAACCATTGCTTTTCCAGCACGCCAGCACAAGGTGCCAGCAACCCGAGAGAGTACACATTTCCTTACGTAGTCCCCGGCTTCAACCAGTGCTGACGCCAGCGCTCTCTGCCCATCTCTTCCAACCTGGCGGAGGCAGCGACTTCCTGCCTGGTCTCTCTCGCTTGGTGCCCCCATCCCACCCAGCCTGCACCATGCAGGCCACGGCACACCCCGGGCAAGCCCCCCAGTGAGGCCTGGCAGCCAGGCCCTCTGCGCGCGAGTGCACGCACAGTCTCAGGCACACACTCGAGTGTGTGCACACACAAGTGCGCGCGCACACACAGACATGCACACACAAGTACACACACATACATACTTGAGTGTGTGCACACACGCACATACTTGGGTGCAAGAGATGCACACACACGAGTGTGCACGCACATAGTCACACACTTGTGTCCGCGCGCACTCAGACGCACACACTCGCGTGCACGCACACTCACAGACACACACTCAAGTGCACACAGGCACACACAAGTGCGCTCATACAGACACAAGTGCGCGCACTCAGACGTGCACACATTCAAGTGCGTGCACACAGGCACACACAAGCGCATGCACACTCAGACACATGCACATGAGTGCACGCACACTCACACGTGCACACATGGGTGGGCACACACTTGGGTGCACGCACACTCAAACACGGGTGCACGTGCACTCAGACACGCACACACTCGAGTGCATGCACACTCATGTACACACTCACAGATGCACACACGTGGGTGCACTCACGCACACGGGTGTGTGCACAGACACGTGGGTGCGCACACTCAGACACATGCGTGTGCACACTCAGACACGCAGGTGTGTGCACACTCACACCCGCACACTCAGACACGCACACACTCACTCTCAAATGCAGGTGCTTCTCCCTTGCCCCACCCCACAGGGCTCCAGTCAGGGTGGCTCTTGTTCGGTTGATTGCCCCCAGCCTCTCTGCGTTTTGCCCTGGCTACCTCCCCTGACCCTTTTGCCTGAGGAGTCCACAGCGCAGGGTCCTTTCTCTGATTCTGAGCTCCCAGGCACTTGGTGCATCCTCCTGTACCCCCATGACGTTTCCTGACTGTCTCGGGCATCACAGTCTGCACTCTGAGGTCAGACCTGCCTGCCTGGGCGTCCTGCCTGCTGCCTTCATGCCTGTTGCCCTTGGACAAACCCCTTGGCCTTTCTGTGCTTCAGGTTTCTTATTCATTGATGGGAGCAATAGTGATAGTACGGAACCTATGGTGTGGCTGTGAGTGTTGGAGGAGATTTTTTGCGTGTAGAGCTCTTAGCACATGGTGTGGGTCACACACTCCCAATAACAGGCGCTTCAGTGTCAAGTTGTTTCAATGTCTGTTTATAATGAGACCCACCACTTAGCAAGAGTGCCAGGGGCAGGACTTTGGCTCCCTTGCCTTTTAGCATTAGCTTTGCCCAGGTGGTAATGGGCCTCTGATGGGTCCTAGATGAGGGATCGTAGTGGTTTAGGGATGGAAGTTCAAGCGGTGAATGAGGAGCCCAGCTGTAAACACAATTTCCAGTGGAGGACTGGTGACCTCTGTGGGTGAGCATGAAATGGAATCCACCTATTTGCAAAGCTTTGATGGGATTGGGTGTTACCAGCACTGCAGATCTGAGTGACTCAGATCCAGGACCTGCCAGCAGAGAGCTCAGGGTTGGATCCTTAGATGAGTGATCACAGGACACTGGACGTGCTCACAGAGGACTGGGGACACCCGGCCAGGCTTCGTGGAGGGCATTTGAACTGAATCTCTTCCTTCTTGTTCCCTTCCACTCTCCTGTACCACCCTCATTTTTCACTCTGGTCCCAAGAGAAATGCACATTCCCTGGAGAGATTTTGGAGCAACCAGACACTCCTGCTGGGAGAAGGTGAAGAGTAAACACCTTAAATACATTGTTTGGTAGATATCAATACATTTGGCAGCATGTTCCAGAACATTTAAGAATTTATCCTCAGGAAACAGAGACATGGGTCAGGTTTTCCGTCTTAACCCCTGAACACACATTGGCTCCATTATTCTCACAAGACTCCAGGGAGGCCCTGGCATCACACAGGTGAGGCAGTGGGGTGAAGGCAGGTGACCTACCCAGAAGTCACACAGTGAGGAAGTAGAGGAGTCAGACTGAGACCCGGGCCCAGGGGCTCCTGAGTCTGGAGATTGAAACAAAAGGGCAACTGAAGATGCCTATCTTGACTGGGAACCCCAGAATCACAAAATAAAACGGTCTCATTTTTACTCATCGATTTGGCAAACACTGTAAAGATAACTAGTGTCCCAAGGCTTCCAAGGTGGAGGGTGGGCTGAACAGCTGCTGGCAGGTATGTGGACCCTTCCTAAAGGCCAGCCTGGTGAGGTCTGTTCAAGCCGCCTGGGTGTGGCCCTCCTGCTCAGCAGCCCCCTCTCACGGGGTCCTGGGGAAGTGCCCACACTTGCGCAAAAGGAAACAAAGGTGAGGTCTCAGAGTGAAAATAGGAAACTGGAAATTCATCTGAAGCCAGTTTTTAACATTGTATCATTTCACCTATAAACACGTGTGTTCCCAACAGGCGGGAAGGAGGGAGGCCCCAAGCGTCAGGGAGCTCCCGCCACTGTTCCTGGCGGGCCCACCCAGGTTGCCCCAGGTGTCCGCCTCACCTTCCCCCAGGCCTGTTCAGGTAATTGGACTCTTTCCTGAAGCAGCTGCACCATTTCCCATTTCTACCAGCAGTGTATAAGGGTTCCAGTTTCTCCGCCTCCTCACCATCACTTGCTATCAATATCTGTCTTTTATTTAATGGGTGTGAAATGGCATCTCACAGTTTTGATTTATGTCTCCCTGGTGGCTTGTGATGTTGAGTGTTTAAGAAGTGACTTTTAACATCTGTTGCCCTTGAACCAGCAGCCCCTTCTGAGATTTCCCAGATGTGTTCAGCACTGATACCCCTGCTTGTGAGACCACTGTGCCTAAGAACCTACAAGCATGCATACCATCCAGAAGTTTCAAGGACCACTAGGCATGGGGTCTTCAGGGCCCCAAAGCCACTTTCCTCTCCAAGAGCCAGAATCAAGGTGTGGGAGACTGGAGGGTCTGTGTGTCCTCGTGAACAGGGGCCTTGTTCTAAAGGCCCCAGTGACCTTTATCGTGATGCCTCATTCCTCTTTCTCTCCCCAGGAGGGCCTGATGGTTCCTGCAACTCTAGCTTCAGTAGCGGCATCAGTGTCTTCACTCCAGCCAGGTAAGTGGTTTGTTCTAGCCAGAGCTGTTTGTGCAGAGCTAGCAACGTACATCATTTCTGGGCACAGGAGATCGCAGCAAACCCTGAGGCAGATTTTGCTTAGGGTCAGCACTTGTAGGACACAAACTGTCTGATGAGGGAGTCCAGAGGACACTAAACAGCCCACCCCACCTGGTTCTGGGGGACACATAGCCTCTTGGGAAGGACTAGAGGCTGTGAGAGATCAGTAAATACAAGGTATAAGAGTATAGCTCTAGGTGACTCAAGGTAAAGAATCCACCTGCCAATGCAGGAGACCCAGCTTCAAGCCCTGGGTCAGGAAGATCTCCTGGGGAAGGCTTTTCTTGCCTAGGAAAGCCCATGGACAGAGGAGCCTGGCGGGATAGAGTCCACAGGGTCACAGAGTCAGACAGGATTTAAGAGACTAGACAACAATAATAGTGTAGGTAACGCATGGTGACCACAGGGGTACCTTGCGGACGCCTTTGCCCAGCCCCGTTTGCTTGTGCAGGATAATGTGAGGCCGATGCACCTCTCTGGGGAAGGCCATTCAAGGAGCTCAGAGCACATGCAGTGATTGACTGAGCCAGAGCGTGCTCACTCGGGGGTGGGAGCTGTCCTCCAAGGCTGGCTGCAATGGCGCCGCCTTCCACGTGGGGGCAGTGCAGGCCAGGCAGGGAGATGGCCACCCCAGGGGGGACTGTCCACGCTCTGTAGGCGGATGACGGTCCCGGGAGGGACTGTCCACGCTCTGCAGGCGGATGACGGTCCGGGCAGGGACTGCCTGAGCCCCTGGACTGGCCCCCAGCCCCGCTTTGTCAGGCACGGCTGGCTGCGGGGCTGGAGTGGATGCAGCTCTTCCTGTATGGGGTTCTTCCCTCTGAATCCAAGCCTGAGCGCGGGCCCTGAGGGCACAGGTCACTCACAAGAGAAAACGTGTACTTATCCCCAGGAGACTCTCTTCTCTGCAGACCCTGAGGAGGCTCTTGTCTCCGTTCACATTGTTTTCTCACTGACTCCTCTCTGAGGACCTTGGGGGTGTTTTCAGAGTACTGACCGTAAATATGGACTCTTCCTAGGATCTCTCCCACATTGTTGGAGCAAGCCAATGAACACCATTTATTTATTTGTTTTTAGTTTGTTGTCACACATCCAGAGCCTGTGTTGAACCCTGCAGTTTCTAAGAAAAAGATGTGGTCCCTGAGCTTGAGGTTTTCCAGTGTGGGGGCAAAGACGTAAGCAGGAAGTTATGGGAAAGGGTGGTGACGGTTGTGCGGGGGCTCAGAGGGTGTTAGGGCCAGCGCTGGTGCCCCTCTCAGGCTCTCTGGAAATCCGGCTGCCCAACTCGAGCGCTCAGGGAGGCCTTCCCGGGCCTGGCTGGTGCCCCGCTGGAGCAACGGCTGCCCACCTCAAGCACGCCGGGAGGACTTCCCGGGTCTGGCTGGTGCCCTGCTGAGGCTCGCTGGAGCACCAGCTGCCCACCTCGAGCACGCGGGGAGGCCTTCCTAGGCCCGGCTGTGCCCCGCACTCTGGGTCACGTTGTCGGGTTCTGCTGATGGTTACGTTTCAACTCCACAAGCTCAGTAGCAGTGCTGTCTCCACGTCAGGGCTGAGGAGGGACAGGAGGTCAGGGCTGCGTTAGAGACTGGATTTAGCAGGGTCTGAGGTGGGCGCAGGCCAGTCAGGGGCTCACTGCCACGTCCCGGTTAGACGGGACAGAGGCTCAAACTGAAGAGGCGGCAGAATGTGGAGAAAGTTGATTGACTCAGGGGAGAGGTCTCAATGGAGATGCAGGCAGACTGGCCCACCCTGCTGAGGATCCGCTCTGGAAATCGGAGGGCCCTGGCAGGGAGGGCCATGTAGTCTCGAAGCCCCTACGGCAGTGTGAGAGAGGACAGGTGTGGGCGCGGGGCAAAGCTAGCAGCAGGAAGGCCTGGTGAGCCCCGTCACTAGTCTAGGCCTCTGGGAGGGGGTGGTCCAGGAGGACCGGAGATGGGCTGTGACTGACGGCCCTGTGCAGGAGGCACAGCTCCCCCCCGTCACTGGGGAGACAGTGGTTCCTCCGCCCAGAGGAGGCCCTGATTCCTGCGCTGTGGCCGGGAACCCCTGACTGGGACCAAGCCTTGCTTTATACCCATCATTCAGCAGCGAATGCTGAACCAGTCTTTGAAATTGAAAAGCCAACGGAGAGCATATTATCTGGCGCTCTGTTTCCCTCAGACGGAGGCTTCCTCGTGGCAGCTGCCAACCTGAGTCACCGGCTGTACCAGAGAGGGGGCGGCCCCAGAGCCGGGAGACCTGAGCCCGGCCCTCCCGCTAGAGGCGGCAGCGGAGGACAGAGGCTGGGGTGCCTGCTCTGCCGGTTGGTGCTACCTGAAGCGGGCTGAGCTCGGGCACGCTGGCCTCTCGCAGGGTCCCCACGAAGCGTAACTTGGGCTGCGGGTTTCCGACGCACAGTCACCCCGGGCACTGCCTGCACAGGCGGGCCGCTCCCACCACGTCCAGGCCCGCTGAGGGCAGCGGGACCCCTCCCCGCCTAGCAGACAGCCAGCAAGGTGACAGTCTGCTGAAAGCTCTGGGCTCTGGCCTTGTGCATGAGACTAGGTATGGCTTTAGAGGACCGTTGTCATCGGGGGCATTCAGTACAGGTCTCCAGTACAGTATAGCTGGCTGCATCAGGCAAGCAGAAAGATCTAGAAATCAGTGCTTCCCAACTTTTAGCACCTGCTGATTGAAAGATGTGACAAAGATCTTTTATTAAAAAAAAAAAACAGCTCTGAATTCAGAAACAGTTCCTTTTTTAGACTTACCTTTGTTCTAATTTGATTAGAGCTGTAACATAGGAATGCCATACAGGGTTAGATGTTACAGAAATAAAGTGCTGCTTCCCGCGGAGAAGTGCTGGGCTTTATCAGGATGTGTTAGTAATATCAGAACCCTTATGCCTGAAGTCAGTATTTTAACAGCCACAGAACCACCATGCATTTGGAAGTCATAGTACATGTACACGTATGACCTTCGTTATGAGATGCTTTCTGAGAAAGTGCGTAGTGAGAGCAGGGTTTTGCAGACAGCATGAAATAACTCACAAGCACCCAGGAGTAACTAGACTCTCTGGAACCAGCACAGAAATGTGTTCTAAGCTGTGTCTGAGCTCCGTTCTGTTCTCCGGGTGGGGTGAGCCAGGGTGGAGGGTGCACACCTCTGGCTCCAGACCGGCAGCTCAGGAGCTGAGCACCAGGCGCAGCGTGCCGGCGCCAGGAAGAGCCCAGGTTCCAGAGTCCCAGCTTCGCATGGAGCTCACGCCGAGCCCAAACAGTGTAGCTGGTCCCCCGGCAGGGTAGCTGAGAGCTGCCACTCGGAGGCAGGATCGCCCGCTCTCCCTGTCCATGGCGCCCTGGGCCGTTCGGCCTCCCGGGCCCTTCACCTCCAGCCAGCCAAGGACATGGGAGCCAGGGAAAGCGTCCCCTGCTGAAGGGGGACGCACCAGGCCTCCTGGCCTCGGGCAGGTCCTGTAGTGTCCCATCATGCACCAAAGGGACCCAGGGGCCTGTTGGCTGGCTGAGGCTGATGCCCACCTCACCATCAGTCTGGGGAGGACCGCTGTGGGCACCCAGGGTGCCGCCTCTGCGACACCCTTCCTTCCTTATCTGGCCCCAGGGCAGTGCCCCGAGGGAGGCGCAGTCACAAGCTGGCCCTTGATGTCTGTGCTCTGTAGACCTGCTTCACTGGCCCGCAGCACCTCGGGATTGTTGTCAGTCAAGGAGCCCGGCTGCCCGAGGGGCTGTCTAGCCTGGCTTCCTGGGGCCACTGGGATTTGGCCTACCACCACCCCGAGATGAGCAGCAGCTTCCTCGGTGTCCCCCTCCCTGGGAACCGGTGCTGCTGGCGTGCTTGAGTGCAGCACGTCAGGAGGCAGAGCCGTGCGGTGGGCAGGGCCACCCTGGGCTCAGACGCCGAGAAAGCGCCAGGTCCACGCTTGGCAGCCACGTGGTGTGCACGGGTCAGCTAGCGCCTCCCTGCTCTGCCTGCCTCATCTGCAGCCTGGGAGTAACACGGCTCAGTGCGGAGCCCAGCACTGTGCTTGCCCAGAACCTGCGCGCGCGCGTTGTCTCGCACACACCGCTGTCGTCACTGCTCAGTGTCAGAGCCCGACCCCCAAGCGTCATGCACCCCCCAGGGCCCGGACTGCAGGTGGAGCGGGAGCTGGGCTCACACTGCCTCCCAGCCCCCAGCAGCTCAGGGCACAGCTGGGCCAGGTCCCAGGGACCGTCCAGGCCTCCCCCCCGAGGGCTGTTTCAGCCAGGAAGCTGCAGGACCTGCGGGGCAGGGGCCCTTGTGCACCTCCTGCTGCGCAGAGGGCCTCTCTGGAGCCCTTGGCTCACAGGGCCAGGAACGGGCTTCGGTCATTCACCACTGCTTTCCGAGCTCATTTCACTAAGACCTCGGGCTCCAGGAGGTGTCTGGAGTGTCTCCTGCCGTGGGATCCTGCCCACCCAAGGAGAGCTTACAGAGCACGCCCGGAGGAGCCCAGGAGGAGGCTGGTGCAGTGGGGCACAGCGGGACCTGGAGATCAGACAGGGAGAGGGACGTCAGGAAGCTGTCAGAGGAGAAGAGGGGATGCGCGGGCAGCTCGGGATGGTGCCGCAGAGCCGTGCCGTCCACGCAGGCGCCTCTGCCCCTGTGACCGCTGCGCGCAGCGCGGCCTGTCTGAGCCGAGGGCGCTGAAGGCAGGACACGCGGGTTTAAAAGACTCAGGACACCGAAGAGAGTGTGCACAGTCTGTTACTAATCTCTGCGTCGGCTTTTATGTTGATCACATGTTGGAATGACATTTGGGGCGTATTGCATGAGTGCATGCCCAGTTGTGTCCGACTCTTGCCCTCCAGGCTCCTCTGTCCATGGAATTTCCCAGGCAGGAATACTGGAGTGGGTTGCCATTTACTTCTCCAGGGGATCTTCCCGACCCAGGGATCAAACCTGTGTATCCTGCACCTACTGCATTGGCAGGCGGATTCTTTACCACTGTACCGCTTGGGAAGCCCTTGGGGTATATTGGGTTACTTAAAATATATTGTTAAATTTAATTTTACCTGTTTCTGTATACTTTTTAATGTAAAGCCAAAAAACATAAAATTCCATGTGTGACTTGCATTATATTTCTAGTAGATAGTGAGAAAGAGAGAGAGGTGAAGAGCAGCGGGTTCCTGGGTGGCTGAGACTGTCTGGGAGCCCGCCTTTGCCACCCTGGACTTGTCTGTCTGTGCATGAGTTTCTCCATCTGTCCAGGCTGCTGAAGAACTCAGATGCTTGGCTGTCCTCGGAAGACCCCAGCACTTGCAGCCACATGGCTCTTGGGGAGCCTCAGCAGCAGCCCCACCCCAAGGCTCAGTCTGCTGGGCCACATCCCTCACACGTACAGCCCCCCGGCCACCAGAAGCTAGAAGTGCCCGCTCATGCCCCCAAAACGAGCTCCATGGGGAATCATCAAACCGTGTTAAATAGCACTTCCATTTAGCACTTAACAGAGCTCAGAACCCTGCCCTTTAGGAGTTCACATCAAACAAGCTTCAGAGAGGCTGCAGGCGAATTGGGAAAGCATAGGCATTGAGTTCCTGACGCAAATGAATAATTGAGCAGTCTGGAAATACCACGGAAGACCGTTTTGTCCAAGCAGGCAATGGCGTTCTGCGTCAGATGGGAAGGGAGCCCCTCCCAACACCTTAAGTGTCCCTGTCCTTGCCAGCCCCATCCCGGAGAATGCCGGCCTCTGTCTGGGGACCCCACTTTGGGCAGAGGGCTAAGGGTCTGTTCCAGTGGCACCCAGCATTCCCGGGGCTGCTTGGCAGGACTTTTCTCTGCCTGGAGACCAGCAAGGCTTCAGGCCAGGGGACCAGGGAGCCTGCACCCCGCCCTAGAGCGCAGGCATTCTGAGCAGGCTCCAGTCTACAGGCTGAGCCTGTCACCTCCTTCCTGCCTCAGATGAGAACGTTAACAACTTCAGAGGCGGCTCTGAAGGCCCCTCACCCAGGCCGGCTGCTGTGCCGAGGGCCCTACATGTGACCGGTTGAAGCACCATGGGTCCTTGTTGGAGAAGTGGGCTTCGGGTGCCTGGGGCAGGGCCTGTGTTACTTAGGGGCGTCCCTGGGGCCTTTCCCTGGGCTCTTTGGACAGGGAGGTTTTGTTTCATTGACAGGCTCTGGACGTAATGCGCTGGGGGTGCTGAACTGCCTTTCAGCTACGAGGTCCGCTGGTCCCGAGCTTGTTAACATCAGAGGTGTCCGCCCTTCTGCACCTTCTCTGGTGCAGCCCGCTGCTAGAAAGGGGGCTGCAGGTAGCTGCCCAGCAGACTGGCCCTCCTGCAGCAGCGTGGGTGTCCGCGCTCCCACCTGGCAGAGCAGCACCCTGGCGCCCCGGGTGGGAGTGCGGGGCCTGTGGGCCTCAGGCCAGCTCCCTCCTGGTCTTGCCCGCAGCGCCGAGAGGGCCCCAGTCACCCTCCACCTGGACGGGATCGTGCAGGTGCTGAACTGCCACCTCAGCGACACGGCCATCGGCATGATGACCAGGATCGCCGTCCTCAAGTGGCTCTACCACCTGTACATCAAGACCCCCCGCAAGGTGAGCCCCCGGGCTGGAGCGGCGCTCCTGGGTGGTCTGCAGGGCCTGCCCGCGCCTGGCAGGGTCCTGGGGTGGGAGGCCCCTGCCGCGGGCTCACACGGCCCCTCCCCACAGATGTCACGGCACACGGACAGCCTGTTCCCCGTGCTCCTGCAGACGCTGTCGGACGAGTCTGACGAGGTAGGTCCCCATCCTCCTCCGGGCTCTGGCCGCCGGCCTCCCCTGCTGAGGGCACAGTGTAGCTCAGAGGGACTTATTTTGCTGTGTTCTCTTAAGCCAGCACCCCTAAACTCCCCCCGTTGCTCCTGTTTGGTGAGGAGCAGCCGTCAGGGAGAAAGCTTTGTCTCCTGCCCTCTGGAGATAAAGGCTCTTGCTCTGCTGGCCCTTCTGATGAGCGCCGGGTCTGGCCGTGGTGAGGAAGCCAGTCGGGCAGGGAGCCCCGGTCCCCGGGAGGCCGTGGGGAGTGTCGGCAGGAAGCCCGAGGGCGAGCTCCGGCTGCCTCGCTGCCCAGGGCCACTGCCTGACCCTGCGTCTCGGTTTCCTTTCTCCATCCAGTGGGGTAGTGACAGCACAGAAGGGTGTGAGGAATGTCTCCAGAAGCACCAAGTGCTGTGCCGGGCACCAGCTGAGCCCTCAGAGCACCAGTCGTGATCCCTTTCAGCTGGACTCCTTTCTGGCCTCCAGTTTGAACTTGGACCCTGAGTCTTCGCTTTTGTTGGGGGTCACCACAAGCTAAAGGGAGAGGCTCGCCCCCTCCCAGGCAGCGGGAGTGACCCCGAGTGGGGTGGGCAAGGGCTGCGCCCTCAGCCTCCCCACACCATGCCAGCAGCGTCCTGCTTGGGGGCCTTCTTGGTCGGACGCCCCGCCTCCCAGCCGAGGAGCAGGGCTTGCAGCCGGGCATTGCCTGCTCCCGGGGGGCATCCCTGCCCTCCACCCATGCCCACTCCGGGCTTCGTGCTGGATGTTGGTGGCCCTGGCCCTGACCCACCCCTCTCCTGCCCTCCCCTGGGCCCCATGAGGCAGCAGGCACTCGCATCTGCAGACCTCCCAGCGCCGAGCAGGAGGGGACGGGCTGGGGAAAAGGGGGCGGGACCTGGCCCATATCTTCCCATGCAGGAGGTGCCTCAGTCTCTCCTGCGGGGGCCCCTGGCTTGTGTGGGGTCCTGGGCAGCCGGCCTGCAGCCTGACTTTGCTTCCCTGACCCTGAGCCACAGAGAGATTCAGACAGGCAGGTGTCCACCTCCAGGTCCTCTCAGATCCTCCACGTTTTCTTAAAGCAGATGGTCTGGGCCTCTGCTCAGTACCCTTCCTGCCTGTCCACCATGCACCCGTGTGTGCATGCGCACACACACACACACTTCCTCCCCTCCCCCCCCCCCCGCCGCTGCAGTGCGCACACACACACCCCACCCCCCCGCCCCACCGCTGCAGTGCACACACACACACCCTGCCCCCCCACCCCCGCCGCTGCAGTGCACACACACACACACCCCACCTCCCCGCACCCCCGCTGCTGCAGTTCACACAGACACACATACCCCGCCTCCCCCCACCCCCACCGCTGCAATGCACGCTCACACACACACACACACACACACACCCTGCCTCCCCCCACCCCAGCCGCTACAGTACAAGGCCCAGGTGGACATGGCCTGGTTCTGCGTGAGTTAGGACTGACTCGCTGCACACTCACAGCCCTCATTTCACTACAGAAAGGGAGAGAAGAACTTCGCTGATTGGTTCCTTCCCCAGGACTTTAGTGGAAGCAGCTGAGTTTTCAGTCCTTTAAATTGAGTTGTTTAATCCCATCCAGCCTTCTTCACCCGCAGTTGGTTTTTGTGTGCATGTGCATTTAAAGGGAGCCGGAGGAGATGCAGTCCATTAAACAGCTCTGTTCAGGTTGCGGCTGTAGAAACTCGACTTGCTGAGATGCCAAATATTTTCGGGTTTTGGGGCGCATCTTGTGGGCTTCTGGTGGGGAGAGGCTGCAGCTGCTCTTGGGGACAGTTGCCGGGGGTGGGGTGCACAGGCAGCGCTGCTGTTAGCAGCAGTTCAGACTCCCAGCTGTCCCATCTCTCTCCTGGGGAGGGATTTGGGAATCCAGTGTCACTGCTGAGTCGTGATCCTGCCACGTCCTGGTTCTTCCCCAGAATCCTGTCCCTGGTGAATCCGGTGACCTTGAGGGTGTCCTGTGTACTTGGCAGTGGAAATGCAACCATGAATGAGACAAAGTCCCTCTTCTCCTGAAGCGAGCTTCCGTTCCAGGGTGTCCAGAAAGTGCCCTCTGGGAGGTTTCCCCAGTTATTTTCAGGCACGCCCCTGATCTCAGATTGGAGCTCCAGGGGTACAAGACCCTGAAAGCCCATTCAGTCAGATCGGCCCACAGCCAGACCGGGGAGGGGGGAGGCACCTCGCTAATAGAACGTGACCACGGCCTGCCCCACGCGGGGCTGTACACACAACCGAGGTGGCTCAACACCTGGGTTAGCCCGTTAGTAACCGCCAGCCTGTCTGAAGCCATCCCAGTGTCAGGGAATGTGCTTAGACACCTTCCCTGTAGTATCCAGAGAACCCTCGACAGTTCTTCTGCAGGAGAATGCTGTTATTATTTCCATTTGGCAATTCAGAAACTAAGGCTGGGGAGGTGAAGTAGTTGGCACCCACCTAGGGAGTGCTGGGGCCAGAACCAAGTCTGTCTGTCCCCAGAGCGCGCAGTCGCTGCGCCCCTGTGCCTGTTTTACCTGCGCGGCCCCCAAGCTCGTGCTTGGTCATCGTATCATCCCCCCATCATCTGGCCTTTTTCTCTCGTGCTACAAGTTCTCGAGAAGACTGTGCAGTCTGGTGTGGAGAGGGCTGTGGGGCTTTGGAAAAGCTCTCCCTCAGCGCCCTGATCCGTTGTCCACTTTTCCGATTGATTTACAGGAGCTCTGTTTATCCAGGACGTCCCATCTATGGTCTGTGTTGCAGATGTTTTCCTCTCCTAGTGTGATGGTGATAAACCCGCATACCCGTCACCCTGGGGGAGAGGCACTGGCCCTGGGGGACAGAGTGTACCAGGTGTTCATGATGCAAGAGCTGGCCGCAGGGAGAGGCCGAGCCTCAGAGCCCCAGCTCCGCCGCCACCACGTTCCCCAGCCCCTGGGACGTGGCCTCCCTGGGGTGTCTCACGGGCCCTTGTTTCTCTGCCCGCCTCCCCCTGCCCCCTTCCAGGGACAGCTCGGCAGTCCACACCCCTCCGGGATCCTCGGTTGTCTGCTTCTCCTAATTCAGGATAAGTGGCTGCTCCCTCAGTACTGCCTGCTCCTCGCAGCCTTGATCTGAAAATCCTTTTGTCAGAAACAATTTTGCAGGTGTCAAATTAATATTCTTGGCACTGGAGTAGAAATCCTCCGATCAGCTAGCGATCCAGTGACTTGTTTTTAGGTGAAAATGCGACCCTGATCCCACAGTCTGGAACGCGGGGCACATGTGCAGAGCTTTCTGCGGGACCCGTGGGCGGCAGGGCCGCTCTTTCCCTGCCCGAAGGTGCCAGTGTCAGCCACCTCCCGAGCCCACAGCTGCCCAGGCAGGCTCTGCCTGTGAGCCCCCGGATGACAGACGGGTCCTGTCCACGTTCCCCGTGGTTCCCATCCCCACCCCAGCCTCAAGCACAGCTGCCTCCCCATCTGCATTTCAGATCCGCTACGGGTCATGGCAGGTACGTGTCATCACACACGTGCCCGAAGTGAGCCCTGGCATCAGCTGTGGGCTTCAGAGGTGATGTGTCTCAGTGCAGGTACGCTGACCGTAACAGGTGCACCGCTGTGGTAAGGAAGACCGGTGAGGGGAGGCTATGTGTGTGCGGGGCCAGGAGGTGTGTGCAAAACCTCTGTTACGTTCTGCTCAGTATCGCTGCAAACCTAAAACTGCTCTAAAAGTTGAAAATCTATTTTAAACAAAAATATGTGGGATTGGAAAAAAGTCTTAAGTTTCAGAAGAGGTCTGGAAGGAAGGTCGGGTGCCCCTCCTCCCCAGGGACCTGGGCTGCTCTGACCTGCCCCGCCGACCGCTGTTTCAGGAGGTTGAGGAAGGCTCCCTGTCTGCGCTTGGCCCTTCCTCACAACCTGTCCATCACCCTCAGATTCTTTAGGGGCAAATCATGCCCCCAGGTGGGAAGGCCTGCTGCTGGAAATGGACCGTCCCTCCGCGTCCGCCCCAGAAACGAGGGCTCCCCCTTGTTGCCTTCATCTGAGAGCAGTTTAGAGAGGCGGGGGTGGCCTGTCTGACACCCCCACGCTGGCTTCCTTCGGAAAGCATGGGGGGTGCTGTGTGCTGAACCCTGTTTGGGAGAAGGAGAGGCAGAAACCAGTTTAAGGAGTCATGGAGCTGGTCAGAGTGCATCGCACCCTTTATCTTCAGGAATGTGCCTGGTGGTCCAGGAGTAGTTTCATTATCCCCCGTGTGACATGAGAGGAAGCTCAGGCATGAAGGAGATTACTTGCCAGGAGCCAGCTTTGGAAGCTGGGTCTGTCAGATTCCAGATCATCTAAACCCCACACGAGGTCTGCCCTCACTCACCTCAGTGAGAGTGCCACTGGGAGGGGTACTGCTCTATCCAGGCTGGATGCACTTGGCTCTGACCTGCCCCCCGGGCTGCCCCAGGTCTGCTGAAGCCCCTGGGCCCCACCCCAAAGAAGTGAGCCGTGGCGGGACGGCCGAGATGGTGTGGCAGCCGCCCAGTGGAGAGCAGGAGGACAGCCTCTGCCCCTTGCTGCCCCCACTCCATGGTAAGGCTGAGGCTCCTTCCCACCTCTGCTCTCCTCCCCACAACGTGCTCAGGCTCAGTTTAGTCCAGTTGCTCAGTCGTGTCCGACTCTTTGTGACCCCACGGACTGCAGCACGCCAGGCCTCCCTGTCCATCACCAACTCTGGGAGCTTACTCGAACTCATGTCCATCGAGTCGGTGATGCCATCTAACCATCTCATCCTCTGTCGTCCCCTTCTCCTCCTGCCCTCAATCCCTCCTAGCATCAGTCTTTTCAAATGAGTCAGCTCTTCACATCAGGTGGTCAGAGTATTGGAGTTTCAGCCTCAACATCAGTCCTTCCAATAAACACCCAGGACTGATCTCCTTTAGGATGGACTGGTTGGATCTCCTTGCAGTCCAAGGGACTCTCAAGAGTCTTCTCCAACACCACAGT